AGTCTTGTTAATAATTTTTTGACAGTGTAAGTACCAGGTATCGAAAGCATGTCCTGCCAAATTTGAAGCGCAGAATCAGCGCACCTTAAAAGCTATAACATACATCATTTAAATGTGTGAAATTCGCTTTAATTTCCAAACCATACAAAAAAATTTTGGTTTTTAATAAATTCATTAATTTATAAAGAACGATTTATTATTCATTAACCTTAAATCTAAAAAATTTATAGATAAGGTCTTAACTTAAAGAACATGCAAAGCAAGGAGCTAGAGTATATATTGATTTAAACATTAACAATTTTTCGTAAACATTGACATTGTGCATTTATTATAAAATCATAAATTAAAAATAATACACTGCAATTTCGATTTGTATATAATTTTCTAAATTTTTCTTTGCTATTTTTTATTGTCAAAGTGCAAATTTAGAAGCAATTATAGTTACTCTGTTAAACTGAACTCATATTAATTATAAAATAAGCTTATTGACTCCAACCATGCTACTAATCTACATCTAAGTTTGCTCACACGTATGTTTACAATAAAAAAGCAAAATTTTAAGTGCAAGCTAACAGCACCAAAAATTACAAAAAAAAGTACAAACTAACAAAGGAAGAAAATTTGCTGGCTAACAGTATTAGAAATGAGGCAAAATAATTTACAACAACGAAGACAATACAAATCGATGGTATTTTGAACTTTTCTACAGATACAACTGCGATATGTAGCTGATTGTAATCATGCAATAAGGTGTTGAAGGCTCTTGCAGATTGTTGCTGGAATAAAGATAAGGAAACTATACTGGACACATTGAAAGCAACAAAACGTTTTCTTGTAGTGTAGATCCCACAACTCTGAGAGACACAATGGAATATCATACAATTGTCAGAATACAGTTTTTCGAATTGTAATCATCTACTATCGCATGTCGTCTGCTGACCTGTTTCATCGCAGAATCTAAAATGCTTCTTTAATAGGAGATAACTGACTGCTGTCTAAGCGATATCTTGGATACATATAAATAACCCTATGATAACATTTTTAGTAGAGCACTTCTACCATGATGCATTCCTTACTTCATATCATGTATATATCGACACCTATTAAAATGCAGCTAACATCAGTACACATGGACTAACAGCCCTCCATACAAATGTAGTATCTACTTCCAAACCACGGTTACACTACAACAAACGACTCAATAGGTCCCCACCTAATATCTCCCGAGAAGAACGATGCCACAACAAAAACTGTGTTAGCCTAATTGAGGTTTGCATATTGCCATATGATTCGTTACGCATAAATGCATCAAATATCAATGTGTGCAACTTTACCTGCATGATGTCGCCCATTTATTCTCTTGTCCAATACACACATAACAACTTTAATATAATCAATTTTTCGAGCCTCCTTATTAAAGTTGCTAGATTTCTATGCTTTGATACAATTCAAATCATACCAATATCCAATCTTATTCGCTCCTCTCTCACACTTTCATCACCTACCTATGTTCTAACTCATGTATAGGTATTCATAATTTCTTTAATGTTCTTTGCTAACTATGACTCTGTGGACTACAACAACAATAAAACCACAAGCAAACTGTCACAACTAACAAAAACAAATGCTGCAAACAGTACTAAACACAAAATTAAAGTGCTAGTTTACAGCACTAAAAACCAGCAAAAGTTCACTGAAAAGTCAATTATCACTTCAAAAAAAAAAAACTCCAACGAGTATAAACTTCTTCGGCTTCTATGAATCAAGTAAAGAATCAATTTTCATTGTTCAAATCTAACGAACCAAAGGATTTTCGATTCAATCTTAAGCAAACTGTTTCTCCAGTTTTGTTGGAGTTTAATTAAAACAAAAGTTTCACTTGAAAAATACCAGATAATAAATTTCCGAAAATTTTTCCTTCTCAAACTACTCGAAGCACAAACAATTACAGTTGCCAAAATCCGAAAACCCATTCAACTGAGCACTGCAAAATATAGTATTAAATTGTCCTTAGGGGGCACGTACACAAATCTTTCTTAATTGCGCTTGCGAAGCAGCCGCCAAGAGCGTATCCAAAACCAAATTCACTTCACATGCTGCACAAACGAAATCAACACATGGAAACCCATTTGTGAATTTCATATTGCAACATTTCATTCCGACTTAAGCTCAGATTTTAGCGAACATCTCCGCTCTAAGTACGAAACATGCCTTAAGTATTGTATATTTCTGGCTTTTTGATTGTTTTAGTTGCCATTGTTTTGTTAAGTATATTATTGTTTCGTTGAAATAATCTTAAGCCCGATAAGCAACATAAATTATTGTTTTAAGTTATGCATGCGCCTAAAGAGATGCAATCAAAATTAATATCACTCATACGACATGTTGTACGCTGAAGTTATTTTATCTGTCACATCAGAGTTGGTTTCGTATTCAGGCTGCAATTTTTGACTAGATAAACAAAAGAAATAAAATATAAATATTATGTTTTGTTTTTAACCTTATAATTAAAGTTTCTGTGTGAAGATAATATGTTGAGAATTATGGATTTATAAATGTTTTGTGTTGAGAATAATTTATAAATATATCTTGTGGCACTTGTTACTTTAATCTATTAAAGTTATATAAATATAAATACATATGTAAAATAAATATGCAAAGTTGTATTACTTGTTATTAAAAAAATACAGATTAGAAACTAATTTAAGGTACTGTATAGTATATTGAATATATTATGTTTTATAATATTTAAAAATTCTGTAATATATTGAAACAAAAGTCGCTCAATTCTGTTTCCTTTCTTTAAAAAAAATGGTGGTCATTACAATGCATTACTCATTTGTATACTAGAATACGCTAAGTGCCATGACAATTGTGTAGCTAATTAGGAAGCATTTAGTGACGCTCAATAAGCTATGTCATTTATTCTCTTCATATCCATATAGCACACAGTACTTGTTAGTTTAAGGAAATATGTAATACTATGAAAGTTAACGTTATGATTTCTATTCAGTATATTGGCAGTAACCAACCTTAGCAAAGGATAGAGACCGCATAAGGAGAGTTTCGCTCTGGAAATAACTCAAAATCGAACTGTTATGATTTAGAAAACACACATGTGAACATTTTTAAGCATTCGTTACTCACAGATACTATCTCCTACTCTTTTAAGCTTGTCTTCTTTTGAGTATCACTAGACGCTTATACATATATGTCACCAAAACCCTATAACAAGTTTAAAGCTTCTTTTAAAAACTTTAAGTTCTTACATAATTAGTCTTGATTGCAAAAAAAATGACATTCTGATTTATAACGAAATTGGACTCCTGTTTAGACATTATCTGTTGTCATTGTATCAGGATCTTCTTGCGCATCAATAATATCCATCATGTAATTTTCCATTACGGTTTCATACTGAATCTGTTCGACATAGGCATTACACTTTACAATCATAACACATGCATAACCGACAAATTCTTCAATACTACTCCAATTTTATATACCGCACAAAAAACTCGCGTAAAAACAATCGCATATAAGAAACCCCACTAAAAAAACGCTCAAAAAAAAATCGCACAGAAAGAGATAGCAGGTTTGACTGTATTTCTTAAAAATCGCTTTTGAGAGATACCAAAAAGCAATATTATCAACCTAGTGATTTGTACCCAATATTGTGACGATACTCACCCTAAACAAAGAATCTGTAAATAATTCTTAAAAATCGCTTTCACGAGAACTCCAAAAAATTTCGAAACAAATATCATAGGCCTAATAGAACTATTAAGAAAGAATTTATGAATCAGAAAAGCACATATCACAGCAATTCTCACTAAGTATGGTATAACACTAAATCACCAGGAGAATCCATATTTTATAACAAGAACTATTAAAATATATAACGAATTTGTCGGTGGTCTTTTGGTGGAACTTGTCACAGTTTCAACCTTACTTCTACCTATTTCATTTATTTAAAAGAAGTATTATTAAGTAATTATTTTTTTAGTATTTTTCATCTCCTCTACTTTATTTTAGAAATACATTTTGTAGCTTTCGTACAGGTAACCAACAATTTCACACAGTAACCTCATTTTTCTTAATTTCATTTGAGAACTTTTTAATATTTCTAAATTGCATACACAAAAATGGTCCCCTCTTGTCCCCCCACTATTCATGGATACACACACTATGCTTTGCTGTTTTTGATATAATTTTTAATTTTGTAAATTGCTGTTAAAGTGTTGGCAACCATTTGACATATACGCTTCAGTTGAAAGTGCTGTTGTTATGATTTTTACTTTTTGTTGTTGTTGTTGCTGTCGTCGTTGTGTTGTACTTTGCTTACGGGCAACTTTTCTTTATGAAATATTTCTTGAGTATAAAATTATGCACAAACAAGAAGTGGACGTTGACATGTATACGTCATTCTAGCACCCACCGCTACTCAACACTACAAATGTTGCTATCATCATCGTTATAAACATGTTTGTACACATGCACTTAGTATATAGCTGAACATTTTTGTTTTTTTTTTTTTTTGGTTGCGCCTTGATCAAAATAACATTTTATTAAATTTTTTAAATAATTTTTTTAATTAAAATTTAATAATTTATATGTACCTAAATATACATTAATTTTGTCTAATTGAGTTGCATGCTTATTAAGATATTTAATTATGTTGCACACAAATACTTGTGCATTGACCATGCCCAACAAAGCCCAACACACAAAAGGATACTTCAATGGTGCAGTGTTTTGCCCTTTCAACATAAATTGTTTCGTTTAACTTTTGTTACTTTGAAATTTGTGTTTCAGTTAGAAATTAAATTAAATTAAACACTTGTTGGTCAGAGAAGAGAACTTTCCAAACAGGAAATACTAATTAATGTTTGAAAATAGCAATAAGTGCTTTATTTCACCACTTCAAGTAACAAAATTAAACGTAGCAATATAGTTTGGACATATTTCTGTTCAAGTTTTAAGTATTTTGTAATGAGACATTTTAGCGGGCAAATGTACTAAAAAAAGAATGAACTTTTATAATTTTGCACCATTTCGACTAACTAAAATAAAGTAACTATTGATACCTCTTTGTAAGCCTATCTAAGTGGCTTAAAGAAATTTCTGTGGATTTAAAAGCACTTAAGGTGGTGTTCAAAATGAGCAGGATGTTTCAAATGCAGATACATTTAGTAATAGCTGATATAGCTGATAATCTATATAAGTAGCTTCAAAAATGTTGCACATCGATTAGAAATTTGGTTGATTAATAGTGAAATACAAAGAAAACTTCAAAGCTTAACCAACAAATGCCTGCGTTATATTTGGAGAATTTGGTGGCCAAGTAGAAATTCAAATATGTAAATACTTCAACGAACAAACCAAGAAGATAGCAACTAACAAGTCAGTTTATAAGGGCTTAATAACACTCTTTGTAAGCCATACAACCAAATATTCCACATAACTCTTCACTGGAACCCGCAAGGCAACAGACACAGAGGAAGATCACGTAACACCTGGAGAAGATTGATAACAAATTAAAACCGGTACTTGGATTACATTATGGTATATTGCTAGAGATAGAAATAGATGGAGATACTATGTAAAAAATCTATGCTTTTGATAGAGTATGGATAATAATAATAATACCTTTAGTAATGGCGATGATTAGTTAACGATTTAATATTGTTTGGACTTGCATTTTGTGTGATGCAGTCGATCATAAATGTTGGTCGGAAAATGTCAATAATGAGGATGCTATAGTATCGCAATCAGTTGGCTGATCTTCTAGTAAATCGGAAATAAAGTACTTTTGCACTATTACTCCGTTAATTATTCCTGCTATCAAATGTCTATTATTATTTTTAATAAAAATATCTTCAAAATAACTATCAGCATTTTCAAAACCTTCACCCGATATTATGCGTTATCTTCTTATTTTTCAGCTTTTCAATTACGTTGAGAATTTTTCAAATGCAGGGATGGTACATGAGACTCCAATTTTTGGTATTTTCTTTCATTTTTTTTCATTTTTTTTCATTTATTTGAGAATTATCAATTTCACTACGATTGTAGCAAAGACAAACATGTGTACGTTCTTTATTATTTGCTAAAAAGCAATTTCAAAAACAAATTAAATTTTTTATGATAGTTTTATTTAATAAAAACTAGCAACATATAATAAAACAAATATATATTTACCCAACAATTTAATTAAATTAATTTAAAATAAAAATTTTTGTATTCAAATTCAACTGTGTATTTAATGTTGCATTTATGTATTATTAAATTTTTTTAGATTTAAAATATTTAAAAAATTTATAAAAAAGAATGTTTTACAACCATTAACATATTTATGTAATATATTATAACATTCTCGTTACAAAATACTTAAGTTTGTTAAAATTTACTCATTCAAAAAGTACTAAGCTTTTTGTTACAAAAAATATTTTATTATATGTAATTTTATAGAAAAAATTTACGAACAAAACCACTGTGACGCTACACTTGTCTCATATCAGCAGATTTAAAATTTTGTTAAACATGTAAATTTTTTGCTGCAACTTTTACAAAAACATTTGTGGACTTAAGCCTCAGTAGCATACATGGTCTCTCATTCTAAAAAAAATTACTTTTACTTTAACACCTTTACTTATATGTTCATGCACTTCCCATACAAAAAAAAGGATACATCTATTTACATATATACCTATATATATAGTGTAAACGTTGTTCCGTTGACGTTAAGCTGTAATTTAATGCACCTTAATTCATGTAGCGCGATAGGTATATGACAAACTGTAGCACCTCCTAGCAAAAAAAAATTAATATGTTTATACTTTTTCTGTAGCTATCTTTTAACATTTATATAAATGGAAAAAAAATTAACTCTAATATGGTGGAGCATACAAATGACTATTTGTGGATATTACTCATTTTAATTCATGTCACTCATACGCTACGTTGATCCAAAAATTTAAGCTTTGTAGTAAATCTACACTACTTTTCTTTTCTTTCTTTTGTTTCCGTTCAGTTGAGAAATCCAGCTATATTATTAACTACTTCCATATGACAACATCAGCCAAAAGTTTTGGTTGCTTTGGTTGTTATGTGTCTTTTTGTTTTTTTTTTTTTGTTTTTTTGTA